TGTTTTATCGGTTTACAGTTAGGATTTCTAACTTTTTTGTTCATTTTTGTCTCCTGTGCTGTTTTATTTCAATTTACCCATTAATAGAATAGAATAGAATAGAATAGAATAGCTCTTTATTGTCACTGTTACAAGAACAATGAAAGGCAGTTTGGCATCTCTCCATGTGTGTGAAATAAACAATAGCGTTAGTATTTACAAAATAACACAGACAAATTTACATTTACATAAGAAAGATATGTACAAGTTATACATGGACCTGCAAATATCTTCTGTTTGAGACTGTACCTTCTCCTTCTGTGGTCAAAAGATTGACTAACATCAGTACACCCATGCAATCCATTCACACACACACACACACACAAACACACACACACACACACACAGACACACACACACACACACAGACACACACACACTAACACACACACACACTAACACACACACACACACACAGACACGCACACACTGCCTTGAGCTAGCTGACCACAGAAACACTCCTCGACCTTAAAGCTGTGATTACATTTTAACTAAAGTCTGGAAGTCTTTCTCTAGAAAAACAGGATCAGTAACTCGATATGACACAAGTGACAATTAAGCACAAACAATCCCCCGGAGCAAAAGACAAAAAACAAACTGTGATATGATAAAGGCAGAGGAGCGAGTCATCATTGTGGTTTGTTACTGCGCTCTCATCCATCTCCACTGAAGCGTCCTCTATCTGGGCTCTTCACTGTGAGGCGATATGTCAGAGGCGCTTATAAACATTTCTCTATTTCCCCCCTTGAGCTTACAGTATCTCAGCTCAGTACATTGGGTCAGTGCCAGAGATCGAAAGCATTCGCTGCAATCTGCAAACTTGGCTGGAAGGGGAACAAAGAAGAAGAAAAAAAGGGGAAAAAAACACCTTTTGTTTTATTTAACATCAAATTTCTTTCTCTCTCACTCTACTTAAAGTCAGAGGTAACAGAAGCACTTATAACAGCCACTCTATTCAGACCGCAGGGACAATTAAACCTCTGACATTTAAAATTTTAACCTTGTGTTAGGACAAAGACTTAACATTTATTTATACTGAAGGCCAAAAGCGACAGATGGCAGTTCCACTGCAGCTCGTTTTCCTCAAAGAGGACAAAAAGGGGTGGAGTAAGGCACAGATGATGATCTTTTCAATTATGCAGATGTCAGATTAGGTTGTTATTGAGCATCAAGGTGAACGGGTCGATCTGCATCTTAAAGGGAACAAAAAATTTTTTCAACACAGACGACTGTAGCTGTGCGTCACAGCTGCACGCCAGCCAGCGGATTGCATTATCCAAACCATCTGCAGTGTAATCGTTACAATCATTTAGGATATTTACTGAGCTCAGAGTGTGCCATTGTAATTTGGAGAGCTCTCACCAGTGAAAACCTTAAATGCCTTGCAATTAACTCATTAGTGTTGCTACTATCAAGACAGAGCCATCGAGAAAGCGTGTGGTGACGCACGCCGAGTTAATGTTCGCCTGCATGTTCGCCTGCGTGTCAGCTCACATGTGGGAGAAAATGTGGCACGCGTGTCTGAATGTGTCCGCAGACGCTGGCTGCTCAGAAGATCAGGACTGGACCTGATCGTCATTCTGAAACACACAATCACAGTCATAGCAACACAAAACCAATCAAAGATTATTGTTTGCATATCTGTTATAGCTGCAGACTAGAAATTTGAACTTGATACCAAAGAAAATGCTCAGTACAATTACCACAGAAGATCAGCTCAGGGGTTTTATTAGTTTTACAGATTATTGAGGGTCATTACAGATTGATTAGGTAAATATATCTTAGACCCTGATCCTGGTGTCTATGCTAGCTATCACAGAGCGAAGCGACAGCTCGCCAGTTTATCGCATGGCTAACACTCACTTTCACACCTGTGGGTAATTTAGAATCATCAATGAACCCAACCTGTGGGAGAAAGACCGAGTACCCAAAGAAAAGCGCCACAAACGCAGAAAGGCCCTGGTCAGGCGATCGAGTCCAACTCAGAGTCTTCATGCTGTGAAGCAACAGTGCTAACCACCCGTGCTGCCACCATCGAGGAAACTGAATATAGATGAAGACCACTATCAAAACATGACCAATGAATTTGTGCGATTCAGAGTGTGACGGCACAGTCATGCTAAAATAAAGAAGCTCAGTAAGAAACACTGAACCAGTCTGACCTCACAGCCGGCTGCAACAAAAGAAGAAACACTTGATTGCACAAACAGGAAAGTTAAAGTTTAGCATCTGCAGCTCTTTACACCCTCAGCCCTGAAGTCTGATTCTGCTGCTCTGAATTTCACTCTTTGTTCCCTCAGATTACTTCTCCACACTCTGGTAATCTGGAGTAATCTGCTCTGGATGGCTGTTCAGCCTGCAAATATTATTCACCTTTTATTTAACTAAAGTGCACAAGCTGCTATGTCAACTATAAGAGATGACAACTGTGGCTGTAAATAATTACTAATAGCTAACTGCTAACATTAACATTGCACATGTTAACTTCAGTGTTATTGAAACAGGAGCTTTACTGATTTCTGGCATCCCTCCTAAAGCACTGATCAGCGTTATGAATGTTAACTACTTCAGCTGTGAGTGAGGGAGGAGCTGTGTGTCTGTCTGCAGTGGTGCTGTGTGAACATACAGCACTGTCGGCATCCATACTGCTGTAAATGAGTATCTTCTTTTGATATTAATATCTGAGTAGTTTTTATAGACAACCATAATAGCAACAACAGGAAAGGACATGAACCATATATAACATATTTTTGACATTGCCAAAGGAAGCTATGCACATGTATTACTGAAGAGACCCTATTACTGAATATTTGCTGCCATTTACGTTGGCACCAGCTCTGCTCAAGAGTGTGTGTGTGTGTGTGTGTGCGCGCGCGCGCTCTTCTCCAAACAGCAGCGAAGGAGAAAACCGTGAAATGACATTACTCAAATGGAAGACAACTCGTTATGTTCATTTAAGTGCAATAAAAGCTTCCCATCAGGTGTAATCCATTTATTACAAGATGCAAGAGGGACAAATGACTCCTTTACTTTGAAAAAACACTAGCAGAGAAAAAAGTTACAGCATTTAGACTTCTGCAAATCCCCCTAAAACTTGGCAGGTATGAGGCAATAAGAAGAAAAATTATGTGATGTTCGTGATGTAATGCAGTTTGCTAATGTGATATCCACATGTGTGCAATGCACAGATTTTTGACCAAAAACATTGAATCTGGAATAAAACTAAAGATGCGTCTCCAGTTGAAACACTGTTACTGCACAGTGTACATTTAAACAAACTGTGTGCATATGAAACAAACTGTGTGCATATGAAACAAACTGTGTG